TCGGTTCAAGTGTCCGACAGGTAGCTCAAGGTGCATATCAAATGAATTCCCATTCCGGAGATCGTGAACTTGGACGTGGTTCTATCACAAGTCCCGGCCCTGTGTTTTTCAACTACATGCTTAGATATGTATACATATGATGCACATCACTTGTAAAGAAACTCGAAGGAAATATCGAAGCATTTAATTTCAAGATGCCTGCTCGAACCTACGACCGTGCCAAAGTGGCAGCAATAAACGTCGAATCTGCCCCAATATGGTGCTTATGTGGAATATTTATAGAGCGTTGTGTTGCGTTATGCAAATTTTTTTTTTTTTTCAATTCGTGCGTCATGAATATTTCGTTCACTCAAGGAATAATTATTTTCACTGGAATAAATTATTTCCCGTGAGATTAACGAATAAAAATAAATATATCCCGACCCTTTATTCAAAATGTCACGTGATCTGTAAAATAATAAAGCTTCAACAAATGGTACTCAAAAGTAAACCCTTCTTCAATATCTTCGAATCTTAGCTTCAGCTATAATTAATAACTACAGGAAGAATTGATTCCACTATTTATTTTCTAAAATTCCGTGCCTCAAGGGGTTAAAATATAAAATCGCATTTTCCATTTTGTATACCGATTTGGACTGAGTACAATTGACAATGCTATTTGCGAGGTAAGAATAAGGAGGAAATATAATATGAAAAATAATTCGGGATTTAGCCATTTACGGTTTGGCTCCTATCGAGCGATAAACTATCGATCGTCTTCCGGTATATCGAGGCTGTCGATTGGTCACGTACTTCGCGTAAAGTGTCTCGGCTTCTCGGTGACGGGTAAAACATTTTCACGGTCTTTTCTTGATACTTTGCGGAAACAAACGTGGCCGAGTGCCGGCTATTACGGATTTACTCCCGCCTTGCGGAATCAGTTCTAGCTTACGAGCTGGTGAAACTTCGAGGTAGGAAGTGGTTATCAGTGATAAACTGTCGGCTCTGTAATGGGCCGTTTTTATAGACATGTTTCGTTTTACGGCTCAGGGTGGAGGTAAGTGGGAAAACAAAGGAGGTTCCAGAGGTTTGATTAACCCTAAGAATGTTTAATCAGAGACTGGAGCTGCCAAAATATCAACTTACAAGGAAGGTATCCCAGGTCGATCTCTCGGATTTCATTTCTTTAATAATATGTTATAGTAGACTAAGAATTAAGCGACACGTATTTTTTTATATCTGCCATTAGTCACTTTAAGGGGGTGAAACCACCCCCCAAAGTAAGGCACGTCAAGGGGCGATTTGGCAGTTTCACCCACAAGAACATAATATTTTTTAACCAGTCCACCTGGAAAAGTTTCCTTATAACGAGAAATAAAAAATATAATTTTCTCAATTAAAGGAAAGAAAAAAAAAATTGAGGGGTGAGCCACCCTATTTTTCTCATAAATGTAATCATATTTAGGGGTGATTCACCCCTTAATTTTTTTTTTATTTTTTTATTTAATCGAGTGAGTGCAATATAATTCGACACTGCTGTCAATATAAAAAGTGAGATGTAGAAGTACAAGATATGTGATTAAGTGATTACAAGAGAGAGAGAAATCCGCAGTTTCGCTCCGTTATTGACAAAATGGCCGAGGAATTAATTAATGGAAAAGCTCGGCTTCGGCGGGCACTTATCCGGGAAAGTGTCTCATTAAATGATTTATTCGACTCGTAAAGTACGCATGTACGATCCTCTCGGTCCGATTACGTTCGCATCACGTGCGGTAAGGCCACAAGCTCGCACGTTCTCCGGGATACGTGCCGCAAGCTTCTCCACGGATAATAACATTAACCTAAGAAAATGGACCAACGCGGCAAAGTAAAGTGCAAGATTTAAGGCGGCTCGTAAAAACGGATGACTACCTCCACCAAATGCGCGCAAAACCTGACGTTCCTTTACGCCGAATTAAAAAAAAATTAATTTAAAGCTCCTAGAATTGCTTCCGGGTTACACATGGAAAATTAACAAGCAACATGGTTGCACGGTTGTCACTTACAACACTATGTATACCTTTGTAATTACCTAAAAATGCGACCTCTCGTTACGTATACTCATTGAGCCAAAGAAATATTTCCTCGAGTACCAAAGAGATGTCCTGTCAATTAAGGACAATTATTAGACTAAGATGAATTGTCATAATTCCAAATAAATGTTGCATCCAATTTATTTCAATTTATTCCTTGAATTGCGAAAAGATTGCTCCGTCGCGGCCTCGTTCGCGAGATGTGTTGGTAGAAATTTGCGGAATTACGTTTTAACCCTTTTCACAATTCTAAGGGTTGAATTTTGGAAAATCAATTGTTGCCATGATAATTAATTCTTTTTTTGGGCGCGAAGGGATAATTTAGACGCGGTGACAAAGGTGGCGTCAAAAGCTCGACAGGGAGGCGTGTTGGGGGTGGTGGAGTTTCCGGGGGGGTTTCGGGAGCCAATGCTCGTCACAAGCTCGTCTCAAACCCGTGAGAAAGCCCTCCAATGGCGTCGCCAGGACGTCGACGCGACGCGTCGGGGTGGGATCCCGACGGGAGGGTTAGGAAGTCCCGGCGTCCCGCCCAATCATTCCTTCGGGCACAGAGCTTGCGAGCGGACGTGCCTATGACGGGACCGGAAGAGTCCTCGAGACTAAACGGAAACCAGAAAATCCCCACTACCAAGAATGACCAAGAATGACACTATATAAACAAAAGGAACGCCTGGTGGAGTTCGACCAGACTTTCCCTTTGTAAGATCACCTACTGTTCAAGGGTACTATTTATGGGCCTGTTTACCCGAAAATTTCCCGGATGTTCGGTTCCTTTGTCCGAAAGTAAGGAAGAACATTTGGCGGCCATATGCACATATAAAAGTAATATAGGAGGTATTGAGTTATCAATATATGGGATCAGTATATTCATTAAGGTCTTTCCTTCCTTTTGTTTGTGACGCCTTCTCCAGGAATAAAATTTCACTCTTTTGACACTTCGTTGATATGGCCGATGCAGAAGGTCGAGGAATCGATATGGCTCGATATCGAATGATTCGAGGGATTCCAATCACGTAGAATCGATCGCTCGTGTCACGGTCGTTTCCGGAGGACCCCTGGGAGGTCATAATGGGATATTCTTTTGACGATGTAGACACCTAGCACACCTGACAGGAAAACCTCTCACTTCCTCCTGTTTCGTGAACGACCACCAACAAGAATAAGATTAGCAAAAATCTTTCTTGAACAGAGTGGCCACCCAGTTTCTTTCATTGCAGTCATTAAGGTGAAGTGAAACCCCCTTCAAATCAGTCGATTCGAATACAACACTTTTTTTTAAGGGTATTAGACCAAACTGATCATCTAAGAATTGTCCCGACACATTGCAAATTTGGATTTTTTAAACAAATTTTTTAACTCAGCCCAGAACCAAAATGGCGTCGGGCTCTGATATTTCGATCGATATACAATTATCGAAGGCTCTGATATGAGAATCGATAGGGTCAGGAGAATTTTACGAGAATTTAGAACACTCTGGTAATCGATAAACTCGCATTTGAACGGGATAAAGGCAAAAAAAGTGTTGTATGCGTATAGCATTTAGAAAAATCTTCTTTATCGACGTCGATCAAGTTCCTCGACGCGTTTCACTTCGCCTTAAGGTGAAGTGGCAACTTCTTGACAAAACACGAGGAACATTCCGTCGTACTTGTCACCTAGGCTCAAAATGAAGTCTAATTAAATACATTGTATGATGAATATTGTATACCGAACGTCCGCGAGACGTTACGCAAGGTTATTCCTGAAATTCCTCGGGAATGGTCAAATTTTAAGATCCAATAGTAATCCGCAGTCCTGTAAATCTACGATAATGACACAGTGGATTACTGGTAGAACAGTATTATTTATATGCACTTATCACTATATTTATATGTATTTATTATTGTATTTACGGGGATTAAATATGTGCCCGCTCGACGTTAGGTAAGGAGAGGTCGTGTACCTCTCAGGAGTCCTATTTAGTATTACATTGCCATTACTTCAGGTAATTTCCATTTGGCCTTTGATTCTCCCTCGCAAGTTCTTCCGATCTAAGGAACGAAGGCCTTATTCGAATATGCGTTGAAATTCCGTCGCCATTTCCTTGCGGTAATCACTTGCAATGACATATTTAGGTTTGCATTCACCTCGAAGATATCCATCATTTTTCTCATTTTTAATGAGCAATCACGTAGCGTAAGTGGAACTTAAGTAGGAGTGCTCGTTTTATTATACGTGAAATTTTTTCGTATTATCTATTAATATTACGAAAAATTTTCGCCTGAAGGGTAGTTCACCCCTTGAGGTGATGTAGCATACCTGGACAATATCGTGTTATCACCGTCCTTATACGGAATACGTATATGTCAAGTTACATCGAAATCCCTCCCCTGCTTCTATGAAAATAAATATAAAAATCGAATTTTCGACACATATGAAAATCGGTACACATATGAAAATCTGGCAAGGATGAATCCTGCACTATCTGCGACATTGCAGATAAAAAAAAAATGAACTATTAGATTATTGTGTTCTTCGACACATATGAAAATCGGTACTTCCGTCGCGAGTCCTGGCCAGGCACAGGAAAAAAAAAAAAGGAGCAAAGAGGAGACGAGAAGCGGGGACAGGACGCACAGATGAAGGATAAATCCTGCACTATCTGCGACATTGCAGATAAAAAAAAATGAGCTCTTAGATTATTGTGTTCCTTCGACACATGAAAATCGGTACCTGGCCAGGCACAGGAAAAAAAAAAAGGCGCAAAGAGGAGACGATAAGTGGGGACAGGACGGCACAGATGAAGGATAAATCCTGCACTATCTCCGACATGTGCGAGTCCGAGTTAGGAGTCAGGAGGGGAGTCGGAGGCCTCAAGGAGGCCAGAGGGGGCCCCACTATGCCCACTGGTCACTCCACCACGCTTTAAAGGCCCAGACTGACCAGGAGGTGACCAGTTCGGCACCACGTGCCGCAAACGGTAGCCCAAAGCCCCGACTCGACCGGGATTCGGAAGAGGAGAGCGAAATTTTCAAGGGATTCGTTCGGTCGCGAGCCAAGTGGACCGTTTCCGGGAGTAGGAATTAGTCAAGGAAGAAGATCCTTCGGAGGAATTAATACGGTTACGAGCCCCACCTAACGCAGGGATTCATGAGATCCCCGGGAAATAGGAGATGCGCCATAGTGAGGATTTCGGGAGCCGGGAAAATCTTCCCCGAGGAGGCGTAGACCTTTTTTCACCCCTTCTCGAAACATTCGCTTCCCGAGCTGCGACTTCGGGAATGGAATCGTCCTGAGTGAAGGAAGTGAAGAATTGGAGGGTCCTTTTTCTAGATCCACGAGGGACTCCATGAACCCACTTCTCTTTGATATCTCCCCGTGAAGAGAGGATCCCTTGGTCCTGTTTTTTATACGGAGTCGTCGAATTTCGGGAAGGTGAAGCTTGGATTTTCCGCATCGTTTTTCTCATACCATTGGGCTTGGGAATATTTCTCATCCTGGAAAGTGGAAGTTCGGACGGCCAATTGGAGATCAATTGACCGGAGTTGACTCTTCCTCTTCCTCTGGGATTTTAATTCGCTCCGATAACAATCGAGACCCTTCAACTTTAGAAAGACATCCTCGCGAGAGGAGTCCTGACGATCCTTCGGTACACAAAAGGATTTCCAAAGAAATATTCGATATCGCGAAGATCGATTTCATAAGAAAGGCGAGAATTCCCCGGAATTTCTTGCTGCATTTTCATTTCCACGTCGGTGGGGAAAAAACCAGGGCCAACGTTGGATGTATCTCCCGAAGAAATCATTCCCACCAATTCGTTGGATAAGCCTCGAGAACGAGGAGATGAAAATCACCGAGTAGAATAATGGATCGAAAGAATAGGTGAGGAGAAGTTGCTTCGTTCGAGACCTCCTTTTGCGGTGCCGGATAGCCGACGTCGGTTTTCCTCCTGATCCTCTACGAGAAAATAGAAGGAAAATGCTGCCGAAGGATTTGTTCTCTTGCCTTAAGTGCGGAGTCCCCGAGGATGCGGACGTCAATGAGAAAAAGAGCAAGGAGGCTCCTAGAGAACGTGGAAGTCGGTGGTTGCAGTTCGCGGCTGCAATTAGCGGTGAGTACGGTAATTGTCCTCGTATCACAAGAGACACGGTTTTCCCGCACTTTCCACCTGGGAATCGCGGTCAGCCTGGGATATCTGGTTCTACCTTTATATGGACCCCGCAAAGTGTTCCAGTAGGATCTCCTTCTAGGACGTCTTGAACGTCTTCTTCGGCGTCTTATCGAGCAGACCGTAACCGAACCCCTTATCGACTCCTTAGGACAAGCTTGGTCTACACTCGGGAGATAATTCTTATCACCACTTTTTCATTCACCTCTCCCGCAATCAGTTCAAAAGCTCCGAAGTTACCGCGAGGCGCGGTGAAGGAAAGGGGAATTTATTTGGATATCTATTTACGACACTTACGATTAGAATTTCCCTTCACGAGTTGTAAAAGTATCACGAAGGGGCCCGGGACCCACTTTTTACCGAATCGCATTCTTATTTATTGTATTATATCAACCCTTTCTCTCTCTTAACCCTTTGAGCGCTGTGGGCCCATAAGTGCGGCCGACGTTTGGTCCAATATCGCTTGCCCGTCCTCGGGAAATTCGCCCTTACGCCGAAAGGGCTTACCGCTCGAAGGGGTAAAGAAGGAAGTCGTTATCACTGATTTTCGTGTGAGGAGCCCCTAGTTAAATTTTTTAGTACGATCAGAATTAACGGATAGGTCGCATTGTTACGATCGGTTCTTGATATATTCCTCTATTGTCACGGATATATTTGTATTCCGGATTTATCGCGATAGATCCTCCTCTCTGCATGATAAGTGCCTCTAATGGTGCAATTCGAATCCCGTTATCATCGTCGTACCTACAGTTATGCTAGAACGTACTCAGACTTATAGTTCAAGGTTGGAGCATAATTGAAAGTGCGACTAGACGGAATATCATTCTATATTCTATTTATACACGAATTTATCCACATACACCGATCATTACGCACTTTCGACTTTGCGACCACGATGTGAAATTCTCTTCCACGTTTCCGCCTGCCGTTCGGAATTTCGATCCAGGCATTTAAATACTAAGCAATCGTCTAGGAATATTAATTACAAAGGGTGCGGCAGTTAAGGTGAAGTCGGTCCACTCGAATGAGAAACTTTTTACTGCCCCAGTAGGACAAAATATTTCTCCTATATTTCCTATATATATTTAACGAATATCCCACATTTTGTAAATATTTGCAAAATGTTTACTTGAGAATATTATCCCTATAATATTTATACAATATTACCTCCATGTGTCTTCATAATTTTTTTCTACTAGACATACAATACATATTTCGTTTCATTTTAATACAAGTATTTTTATTTAAATATTATCTACCGAATACATGATAAACGTTTGAAAAAATATTTAAAATCAAAATCACATTACATGTTGATAAATTAAAAAATATCATTTCTATGCATGTTTATAAATTATTGAAACGAAATATGTCAATGAGATTTTCAAGAAATATTTAGAAATTATTCTATGCTACTAAGGAGTAATTGAAGGTTCTGATATAAGAGATGATTGTGTCGGGATAATTGTACGACGATATGGGACACGGTAGTAATCGAGTTTGAGTGTGATAAAGGCTAAAGTTTGAGTTTATAGTTTTAAAAAATGCTCTTATACAAATCCACCGATCGATGTCGCGGTGTTGGGTATTGGGTGCAGTTTAATGCACCATTCAGAATGCATCCGGCAATTATGTCGCAACGAGTACCTATAAGTATCGGAGGTGCTTCCATCTACGCCACACGGTCAATGTTAACAACCTTCGGTTGCTTCAACTACTTCCTGCTTGCATGTGCCAGATTGTCATTAACGCAAATGCAGGTTACAATGTTGCACTTGCTTTCGAGAGCAGATCACGGCCACTTCCGCAGGTTGCCAATCCCGGTGCGACACCATAAGAAATAATTACTTCATTCCTCCTTCACCCGCTTCCTTATATGCTCCAAGTACGCTTATTAAGTCACTTTCGAACCGTAAGAACCTACCTTTACTCCCGAGGGTGTAACCCGTTTTTAAGGCGATACGAAAGCGGGCAAGAAACATAATGGAAGTCGACATAAAAAAAATTCACCTGTACCCATTTTAGTGATGGCGCCATTTTGGATTCTACTTGAATATTTTCACATTTTAATAAATACTGTTAAAAGGAAATTCTGGGAATTTTATTACATTTTTCATGTAACTCTCGTTCGTACTTGGTATACTAATTTTATCACATAGTTTCAAATAAAATATGCGTGCATTTAATAAAATTGTTTAAAAGAAGAAGAATCCTCTTGCGCCCACTTTTGCAAGGCATACATGTTTGATAACAACATTTTGGGTTAACCCGTCGTCTTAACCGATGTCCTACATTTCGCGATTGCGCGTCATGTCGCAATGATTATCGCTCGGTGGAACTGATTTCTCCCGGCACGCAATTCAATGATTTGCGCAAATCCACGTTTCGCGGTTACATCACGTAAAGTGATTTCGATGAGGGTATTTACCTTCGCAAGTCTTCACTTGGATTACCTAACGATATTAGATGCCCTGTGCCCTAGTAGCACAAAATATTTATCCTATTATTTCTATAATAGGAGAAATAATCTTACCTCCATGTATAAAAAATCTGTCGCTTGAGATATTCAGCAAAGATTACGAAGAAATATTTAGAAATTATTCTATGCTACTAGGGTCACAACGAGAACTGAAAAATATAATTTCCTTAAATAAAAAAAATTAAGGGGTGAGCCACCCCTCACAGGCCTTACTTCGGATGGTGGTTTCACCCCCTTAAAGTGTTTAAAGGCAGATAAAAAAAAACACGTGTCCCTTAGTTTTTAGTCTGCTATAACATATTATAAAAGAAATGAAATCGGAGAGATCGTTTTTAGTCTGCTATAACATATTATAAAAGAAATGAAATCGGAGAGATCTTTCATATCACCGACTTTCATGTCGAAGTTCATACAGGATGGACCGTTTCGATGAATTAATTCGAGTCGATGTCTTCGATGTTGCAGCTTGTATCGGAGTGATGTCCTGCGGTGGTCACCTGGGCTGGACATCGCCATCCTTGCCGTACCTGATGGGTCCAGACTCTATTTTCCCAGTGACCGTGGGTCAAGGTGCCTGGATAGCATCCTTGTACACGTTAGGGGGAATCTTCGGGTCCCTCTTATCACCTCTATGCGTGGACCGATTAGGGCGAAAGATCAGCCTGCTGGCATTCGCCCTGCCCCAACTGGCCGGTTGGGGTCTGGTGATAGCAGCGAGGAACGTGCCCATCCTCTACGTGGCCAGATTCGTCGCTGGGGTTGGCCACGGAGGGATCTACAACGTGGCAGTGATCTACCTAGGTGAGATCGCCGACAAAAGCATCAGAGGTGCCCTAGGAACGTTCCTGAAGATGTCCACGAACGTGGGGAGTCTGTTCGAGACTTCCGTGGGCGCATATCTGCCCTACTGGCAGCTGAACCTGGTGTCCTTATCGGTGCCTCTGGCCTTCATCGCCACCTTCGCCTTCATGCCGGAAACCCCGTACTTCTACCTCCTCCGGGGACGAGACGAGGAGGCAGAGAAGTCATTGATGACCCTCAGAAGAGCCAAGAACCCGGACTCCGTGAAGAAGGACATCCTGGCGATGAAGGAGGCGGTGACGGATGGCCAGAAGTCCGGCAGAAATCCACTTTTGGAGCTGGTCAGCACGAGAGGGAACAGGAGGGCTTTGGTCATCTTGTTGGGACTGAAGGTTACCCAGCAGTTTTCCGGGCACATGGCGATCGTTGCTTACACCCAGGAGATCTTCAGCCATAGCGGATCCTCTTTGGATGCTGGACAAGCGGTGGTGCTTCTGGGAGTCGCTCAGCTGATCGCTGGAGTGGTCGCTGCTGGTCTGGTCGACCGTTTAGGAAGAAGGATCCTGTTGCTGGTGTCCGGGCTTGCTGCTGCTTTTTCGTTGTCACTCGTTGGGCTCTTCTTTTTCCTGAAGTACCATCAGGAGTCGGACGTGTCATCCATCACCTGGCTGCCCATTACCGCTCTCATCATGTACGAGATCATGGTTGCTCTTGGGATAGGAACCCTCCCCTACGTCTTGCTGGGTGAACTCTTCCCGACTAATGTAAAGGGAGCTGCCGTGGCTTGTGGCATCATCGTCGGATCCATTTTCGCTTTCATGGTCAGCCTTAGCTATCAGAAGGTCAGCTCCATTTTTGGGATACACACGTCTTTCTGGATGTACGCCGTGTGTTGTGCGGCAGGGACCGTCTTTGTCTATTGGATCACCCCGGAAACCAAGGGCAAGACTTTGGAAGAGATCCAGAAGGAGTTGAACCCTCCCAAAAAGGCGGAACTTGATCCTTGAACTGCGGAATTGTGCCGGCAGGTGTTATCTCGCTGATGGGGTTGGAAGAGCTGGGGCAAAGAATGGAGCAAGGATTCCTTTGGTGCCCTTATGGAGAGACCATGCTACCTGGGTGACCATCACCAGGATTGGTCGGGATCAACGGATCGCTTTAGGATCTGGACACGAGATTTGGGAGGATCGAGGTCGTGTCCTTAGAGACTTCTCTGGATCTGGATCAGTTCTGCACTCGTGATAGACGATCGTAGGTCAGTTCAGGACCTAGGGGGAGCGGGCAGGACTTTGTTTCGCATTGGCTGGGAAATCAGTCTTTGTCGGAAGACGTTATTAGTTGGATGAGGTTTTTCTAGAGTCCTTGTAACGTCTCGAGATATGAAGGACTCGCTCAGAAACGGCGATTCTAACTATTACTGCCTCGATCTTGACCAGGATCATGGCAGTTCCTATTATCCTTGACTCTGTCAAGATGACGGAACCTGTCACTTGAACCAGGACGTCGTATTGATTAACGATGTCCCCTATCAGGTCCACCAGGAACCAGCCTTCAGGACTCAAGGATCTGTGATACTCAATAGAGGCAATCGGTGAATCTCCCGGGAGATCTATAGACACGTTTCTGCCTCCGACTTTTTCCGGATTTCGGAGAGATTAATAAATAACTAAATGATTACCGCTACTTATTTATTACACTGTACATAAATAATAATCCTTGGAATTAACAGAATACTATCTTTGGTACCATTCGAAGAAACTTTTCTTTGGTTCAACGAATGGTCGTCGCCATTCATCTCGGATAATACTTATTATTAATTTTGCTCATAATACCGTAGTCAGGGGATGAGATCGAGGTGGACTACCCTCCTAGGAAGGTAAAAAAAGTCCTCGGGAATCCTGGGGAAATATCAGGTTTGTAGTTATTGGTCGGGCGTTATTCTTCGACGAGTACCCGCGGGTACTCGCTTCGTCCGCGGCGATGGAATTACTTGCCAGCGCGAGGAGTAATAATTCCGGCATTGAGGTATTTTCGGCACGTAAAATATAGACCGAGCCCGAAGGCGAAGACGAGGGCGAAGCGTCCTGTGAGACAATAGAATCAGGAATGCCGACAGCGTCGAACCAGATAATCTCATCGAGATCGCCTTCTCAGCCGCCAACGCGGGATCGAACTTGAAGCGGATGGAATCGGATCCGGACACCTCGAACAAGTTCGGGACAGAATTGCGCGATTCGTGATGTGGAGGAAAGAAATAATTTTGTTATGTAGCGAGGAAAAAAAAAATTTCGCTACGTAGCGAGGAAAAAAATAACTTCGCTATGTAGCGAGGAAAAAAAATAATTTCGCTACGTAGCGAGGAAAACAAATAATTTCGCTACGTAACGTGGAAAAAAATAATTTTGCAACGTAGCGAGGAAAGAAATAATTTCGCTATATCGCGAGGAAAAAAAAAATTTCGCTACGTAGCGAGGAAAAAAATAACTTCGCTATGTAGCGAGGAAAAAAAAATAATTTCGCTACGTAACGTGGAAAAAAATAATTTTGCAACGTAGCGAGGAAAAAAATAATTTCGCTACGTAACGTGGAAGAAAATAATTTTGCAACGTAGCGAGGAAAAAAATAATTTCGCTACACAGCGAAATGGTTATTAAATGTCGATCGACAAAATGCATCACCTTAAGTTCAGGGCTAATGAATTAAGGCGATGTCAAAGTGCCGCCGAGGTAGCCGCTATGAAAAGTGCTCTTACATTCACTTCCTCCGACGTTCTCGAAAGATTTTGCGCATATTGGGCATTAACAAGCCCCTGACGACGCATTCTTTATCGAGAACCGGTAGAGCGGGATTTTTACAGTGCAGTGACAAAGTCATCGCCAAGCTTGGCCCCGGCAATCAATTAAACGCTTTCGGCACGGGTCGGGGTCAATTAGTATATTAAAGCGCCGCGAGATGGCGCAACCGTCGATTCGAAACTCTCGCGGAAAATACCAGAGAGTGAACGTCGAACGTCTGGCAAACGCCGGGCGAAAGAAAGGTAAGAAAAAGGAGGGACAAAAATGGGAATTACGCACGAGCAGAAAATTCATAACGCGGTGTACCGTGACACCGATTTTCTGTGGATAACGGCTGTTACTACCTCGCCAGTATCCATCTCGCTTTCCCCGTGTACTCCGTTAAAGGCGGCCATCTTGTCTTGAGAAAAATAATCCCGTCAAACATTCAGAGATAATCTGCAAAGTGTACAGAACTTTATCCGTAGAAATAAAGAGCGACATCTTACTTCCGTTTCAAATACGGCGCACCACGGAGAATGATGCAATTCTTAAACTGATTGCCGCAAACTTCTATAGTGTATCGTCATGGACGTGGTTCACGTCAGCGGGAATCAGGAATAGAATTTAAAAAGACGTGAATTCCCGTCTGCACTCGCGAATGTGTAATCGAAATCCCCCGGTAAAAGGAAATCCGGCCGCAAGATGGCGCGACTAACCGAGGATCCACTTAACTCGATAAATCCGGCAAAAGGCTCGCTTCGGCGTTAAGTTAATCCCCGCAATATCGCGTACCGTGTCTCGTAAGAGATGGCGGGGAAAATTTGAGGACCGGGCCAGTTAATCCGTCGTAGGGGCCATCAAAGGGCAGCGCGTCCTTCTTACGGCCGGCGGAAAAGAAAATGGCGTCCTTACGGCGTCGTTTGGACTTCTTAGGCGAGCAAATAGCCGGTTCACCGCGAACTCCCACTCCTGAGGGGTCAAGCCAAAGTTAAGCCCGGTAAGACCGTTATACGAGCCAGGGAAACGAGGAGGTCTATATAATATAGTTTTGTAGCCACGGACGTATGGTCGCCACCTCGTAAAACTGCATGGAATTAAAGATGGCCGCGAGGTGGCCCGTAAAGGCGCGTTCGTAAAGCGCGCCTCGAGGCAACGTGTCGAACCACCTCAAAGGAGGAAAAATATCTTTCGATGCTTTTATTAAGATGACACGAAAGGGTCATTCCATGCCTTTAAAACGTCTAGAGGTATTTATAAAACTTTCCTTCACATTTATAACCTCACCACGTGATCATGGAGGCCCTAAGAAAAATCCCGGTGCTCGTGAAATTTCATTTTTCAACAAATATATTTCTTTCTTTAGACTAGTCCAGAATCAAAATCACATTTTTTTGTGAAAAATCAAATTTCACGAGCATCGCGTTCTTCCTTAGGGCCTCCATAATCACGTGATAAGTTTCGAATGATTCGGTACACCCAGTTTTGAGAAAATTTTTATCAATATTCTGACGTTATATATACATGTTGTATATATGTATATTACTATATATATATATATATAATATAATATGGTATATATATATAGCCCCACTTTTGACGGTGACTTCCGGGATTTCTTGTCAGATGGCGCTTTTAGGAAGCTCGGTGGTATCTATAAGTGGCGGAACATTTTACGGGCATGGTTTGATTACCGAGAGCCAGTGAATGGTGACAGGCCTATTACCGAATGCTAATATAAGAACCAACCCCAAGATGGACTCGCTCCTCCACCCCGCAGAGACCGAGGGGATGCTCGACGATCGTCGAGCTCGTGCACCCTTCCTCTCCCGTGGAGTAATTATATGTTCGGGGGGAAAAAGGCACCAACCACCGAGAAGGCATGCCATTTCGTATGCATGAACAGCGAAACTTATGAATGAGATCTCCCCTGTTCAACCCGAGGAGTTTCGTTGTAACGCTTGCGGGAGAATTTCCCAAGGATCTCGACAAGACTTGAAATATCCAAATTTTGGATTTATTCCTGTATATAGCGAATATGTAACGAAAACGTATTTCATTTATCTGTGAAATTCGTGATAAGAAGTTATCAGCGACTTGAAATATAAAAATTTTGAATTTATTCTTGTATATGACATATATGTAACGTCCATCGGATTTCACTTCACCTTAAGGGGATATGAAAACGGCATCCGAAAGCTCAATCGTTCATAAAACTGGGTGTCTCAAATCGTTTCGTACTTTAAAACGTGAATATGGAGAACCTAAGGTAGGTCCTAAAACTCGGGAAATTTAATTTTTTATACCCTACTTTTAAAATGCCTAAATTTGAAAAGAATTGAAATTTCATGAGTTTCAGGACCTTCCTTGTAGTCTCCCTATTCACGTTGTTAAGTTTCAAACTATTCGGTAAATCGAGCTGGGAGAAAAGTTGAATAAATAAGACTTCTTCGACGCCACTTTGACATCGCCTTAAGAGTGACGACGCGCAATGGCCGTGCCAAACAGTACTTTTGCTCGCTCACGTTTTCACTCGGCTCTAGAAGCGGATCCTCCCCTGGCAGACAATGTCTAGATGTTTGAATAACGTTAAGACGGCAAAAAGGAAGGCAGAAATAGGTATTCGGAGAGTCCATTCAGCCCCGGGTAGTCTACTCCCTGTTATCCGTCTCCGGGGATGATGTATGGCCGTCAGCGGGTTATTAGCGATATTTGGAGCAACCACGGAGGCGAGGGAATTGTTCCCCTAGGAATGGCATATTTCCGGAAGTTCTGCAATTCCGCACTATGTTGCGAGTCCCGAGGGATGGACGACTCCGATATCATCGAGAGTCCGAGGAAATTTCTTCAGGGAGGATATTAATTAATATTAAGGTGATATGAAAGTGCCCCCGTTTATGAGACTTTTCCCCGGATTAGGTACACCTGAGAGTTTGAGACTTCGGCAGGTAATTATGGGGATTCCAAGGAAGAACGGTACCGCCATGAAATTACACTTAAGAAAAGGGACTCTTTTTTTTTTTTTCAAGAGTCGCGAAGTAAAAAATGTATTCTTATTACATGTTCATAAGTTAAGAAATATAATTTCTCAATGTGTGTACAAATTATTGAAACTAAATATGCCATTGAGATTTTCCAGAAATATTTCAAATATCTTCGAATGAAATCTGCGAGAAACGCCCTTGCTTTTGGATATTATCTTTACGTCGGCCAAAGCGAGGTCCCCGAATTTAATAAAAAAAAATATGTATATCCCTAAAAGCAACGTCCTACAAAGAATTGCCGCACTTCGCACCAACGGTGGAGCCTAAGAACACATCCCTTGTCCCTCCACCCTCTTGGATCCACTTCCTCCTTCTACGGCCGGGTGATAACTTCGTTGTCGGTTGCCTTTTGACGTCATTTTTAGGCCCCGCCACGAAATGCGTGGGATCTGTTTGAGAAGTACTTCGGAGGTACCGAGAAGACGGGGAAAAATGGGAGAAAGGCCCTTTTCTTAAAACCTAATTACCTCCTGGAGTAGGGAATTAATTGCGCTTCGCCTTTCGGCCCTCGATGTGTATATCCGACCTCGAAGAGAAATATCCAGGAATTGGAAAATCGGGGGGAATCCGGTTAACCCCGCGATTAACCTCGATTAAATCGATACTCGATCGATCTGACCGCTCGTGCGGGCGGGAATTATACTTTCAGATGAGACCCCTGTGAATTTCCGACTATACGGAAATTTGCCCATGCCTGTGGCATCGGGAAGTGGTTTCGTTTCCTGGTGCCCCAAGGATGGTCCTACTTGATTACACGTGTCCCCTGATTTCTACATCTGTTATCGACTCCACTTGTACAATGTTGCAGCTCCTGCATTTCCTTCCACATTAATTTACACACGATTGTGGGACAATT